AGTGCAACACGATAACAATAACAAACAGCAACATTCTTACAGCCAATAGCAAGCCTTCTTCCATTCCTCTATCCCTTTCGACCAATAAAAATCAAACGCATCATTTTACGGTAGCAAGTTTGACCAATCCGGTTAAAGCAGTAGCTTACAATTTAAAGAATCTCCTTTTCCTATTGGACAGTCCAAATTACGACCCAAACAAGCCCAGCCAATCAAAAGTCTGGAGGGGCGTGGTCAACAACATCGACTCACACAACAAATTAAAAATAGACATCGAAACATGGTTGAATGACGTCATCGCAGTTGCTATAGCAACCAGCTCCGACAAATCAAAATTAATTGTTCTGAACCTTGACCTCGGGTTGAATTTCTTGACCCTATATAACGTCGACAAACTGAAGGCAGACGCTTCTAGAAAAATTCGTCTTGGGGGCGGAGTCATTAACCCGACAGCTGTCAATCATCTCAATGAGATATTTGCTGTTCTTCATTCGGTATGTCAACAGAATGTTGCTGCCACTACCGCTACCGCTACTACCACTGCTACTACAATTACTAATAATAATAACAACAAACAAGCCGTCAGCCTTGTCGATATTAATGGATTGACATTGAAATCATTTCCATTGGACAGTCTGTCTGTCAATCAACCAATCAGACGCCACCCACCAATCAACCAGCTAACTCAGCTGCTAGGCAACAATGTTGACGTCATTTTCGCCCTCAGCGGAAATTCTCAAGCGTTGCTAAAAATAAATATTACCAGCAGCCAATCGGAATTGCTGAAATTAGGTCACAGCTCGGAATCCAACCAATCAGGAGAGAGGAATGAAGAGAATAGGGTGTTGCAGGTCGAATTGTTTGGGTCGGACGAGAAATTATTAGCACTTAGAAAATTATTTCTTTGTTCGTATCAGATGAAATGAATGAATGAATGAATGAATAAACGAACGAATGAATGGATAGCAATAAACTTAATGAATGAATGAATAAATTGATGAATGAGTAAATAAATGAACGATTGATTGTATGAACAAATAAAGGAATGAATAAAATTATATGAATGTAAGTGCGCGTGTGTGTGCGTGCGTGTGTGCGTGCGTGTGTGTGAATTTTATATCTGTCGAACAATAAAATATCATTATTAATAATAATAATAATAATTATAATGTTAAAATTATTACTAATAACAATAATTATACTATTTGTCAACATCGATGGGGCAAGAATTAATTTTTACGGTACATCGTTCTAACAGAGTTGTCATCAGAAGGGTGCGAAGCAAGAACCTGCACCATTGGTCACTTGGTCATTGGTCACCACTGGCTGTTATTGTTAATGTTAATTAATAAAGTTATTGATCTGAAAATAATTCTTTAAAGCAATAAAATTGCTATGTGACAGTTATTAAATACTGGTTAACCGTGCCCCGGGGGTTTGTTGAAACTTGGCCCGTTGTGAACGGGTGAACGGGGGAGGTTGACCCTCTATCGTTGAAAAAACATGTTATAATTATGTAATTATAATTATTATTATAAATATAATAAAAACTATATATAAATCTAAATAACCGTATATATTACAATATAACTATATATAATCAATAACACTATATAACTATATATAAATCTATATGACCGTATGAATCACTTTATAACTATATATAATCAATAGCTCTGCATAAATATATATAAATTTATATAACCGTATATATCAATATATAACTATATATTTTCAATAACACTATATAACTATATATAAATCTACATAATCGTATATATCACTATATAACTATATATAATCAATAACTCTACATAACTATATATAAATCTATTTAACCGTATATATCACTATATAACTATATATTTTCAATAACACTATATAACTATATATAAATCTATTTAACCGTATATATCACTATATAACTATATATAATCAATAACTCTACATAACTATATAAAAATCTATATAACTGTATATAACACTATATAACTATATAATTAATAACTCTACATAACTATATAAAAATTTATGTAACCGTATATAACACTAAATAACTATATATAATCAATTAATTCTACATAACTATATATAAATCTACATAACCTTATATATCACTATATATCTATATATATTCAATAACTCTACAAAACTATATATAAATATATATAACAGTATATATCACTATATGACTATATATAATAATAATTCTACATAACTATATATAAATCTATATAACCGTATATAACACTAAATAACTTTATATAATCAAATTTTTAACATAATTTCGCTTATAAATCTATGCAAATTGGCTTAGCTTGGCTTAGTTCGGCTTGGAATTGGATGTCAAGCAAGGTGTGATCTCAAACTATTTTGAATTCTCCCCGAAAAATTTCAACTGCGTGCGTACATATATAGTAATGTCTACTATATCAAGCAAAGATTTAACATAAAAGCGCTCATAAATCTATGCAATTTGGCTCAGTATATATCACTATAT